ATTCGAACCCCGACTTGCAGATTGCAACTCGATCGCCCTATCCACCTGGCCATGCCGGGCCACCAAAATTTAATAAAGAAATGAATGCAATTTTCAAGAAAAGCAATTCAGAATTATAGGTTATAACAAAAATAATATATTCAAACAGATTGTTAACAACAAGTTGTACATTATCATGCTACTAAAACTGTGACAGTAAGAATAAAAAGTTTTTCTTAGGAACAGGGTGTGATGACTTTTCGTTGTGAGAATATATAGGAGAGTTAGGTGTAGTTTAAAGTTTAAGTCCAGTTCTGCTTTACAGCTACCACATGTATATTTATATACAAGTGAAGGTAAAATTTATATAGTAGTTTAATTTAGGGATAGAACGACCTGGGTAACTTGTTGACTTGAGTTTTAGCAACAATATAACCCTGGGGTTCCTTTAATATAAAAATATTTCAGATTATTGAATACGGAGAAAAGGAAAAAACATTTTTTGAATACAAATCCTCTTCCATCTTCAAAAGCGTCCTATTATTAACATTAACTTCTAACCAAACTAAGCTACATACACAAATCATAATTAAAAATCAACTCGATAATGATCTTAATTTAGATAATATACTGTTATTACTTGTAAAGCTTAGAATTCATTGTTTCTTCAGCTGGGTACCTCGTAATTAACTAATGTTCTTGGAAGGGAAACATATATATATATCTATGATGATATTTACAATGTCACTACTATCTAAAAATAGTTCATTGAAATGGAAGAAAGTATAAATTAACTTATTTTAGCTAGATAAATATTTCATTGTTTTATCCAGTATTTATGTATTGAACTTTTTGTTTTGAAGTCGTTCTCTGTCTCTTACGACGAACAATACGAGTTAAAGGCCCAATCATTGTGTGTCACATAAACAAACCTGAAATTGAAAATACTGGAAAAATAAGGTTGACTCTCATTGTCTGACTGAAATATCAGGACAAAGAAAAGAACTGATATATGGGACATAACATTCCCCGTAGCTTGTTGCAAAGGGTAAATCTATTTTCTCTCTTGGATAATACCTTAATATTTTTGAAATAGCTTTCGTCGATAACTATTTGGAAATGAACTTAATCGATTGTGTGAATACCACAAACAATGTTTTCATATGACCACATAATGAAGAAGTCAGTCGCCTTTTTATGGATAAATACTAAGGATAAAATAACGAGGTTGAGAAGCTCTATGTTGACGAAGTATCAGAGTTGTTTAGGTGAATGAGAGAAGGTAGAATAGAAAGTATGATCATACAGCATGTAGAACAGTTTTAAGTAGAGGAGTTTAGTAGAGAGTAGGAATCTAATTTTAGATATATTGAAATGTATAAATTAGTAATTTAAGACGACTGACCATAAACAATATGGACCTAAGACCACTGCTCGTATTGTGCAAACCCATTAGTTGTTGTTACGGTATTTGTACTGGAGTAAATGAGAATACTATAATTAGGTTGGGTATGAAAGAGGAGGAAAATACAAAGGTATTAAATTGACTATTTAAAATAATGTTGTTCTCACATATATATATACAAGAATACTGTCAAATTCCCAATGAATGATAGCACTGAAGACTGGAGAAAGATCTTGGCCAAAAAATCTATTAGTATCGATCTTTATTGAAGCCTGAGAGAACAGACCGTTATATAGAAAACACAAAGTGCACTTATAACCAAGAACACTTAGTCATTCCACGTGTTAAAATAGAGAAGACACAACATCAAAGAATTTCTAAACCTAGTGTGATTCTAATATACTAACCATATTGATTTTTAGACCTCAGCTTCTGAATCAAAATACTTTTATGCAGAGGCTTCATTCAACATTGGTCCTTCCGGTGGTCTTAAGAAAATTAGAGCGAAGGAAAACGTTACCTAAACCTGTACCTTATACAAATTTAATAAAAAGCAATAGAATAGTTAAGAAATCGAATATTGTGTTAAACGATATTGAGCTTGACGTGCTTAACAAAAGCGTGGGAATTGTTTCTAAGCTAAAACTTTTCGAAAATAGTTTATTACAGAAGTTGAAACATGTTTAAGTAATATTAAGTAGATAGTGTTAGAGATGAATGTAATGAGTTGATAGGTAATTCTAAAATCAAGTTAGGGAAAAAAAGAAAAACTAAGACATACAGGTTTTAAAGTCATTGAGTGAGTTGGATATTGTAATCTGTAAATCCGAGAATGGTGGTCAATTATATATACAAAATAAAGAGGATTGCACTAAGAAAGTTGAAGAGATGCTAGATGAAGGTAAAGTATATATGGAAAGATTAAGAACAACCTTCCTAAAAAGTTGGTCTTACGAATTGATAAAAGAAAAAGTTAAAGAGTGTATAATTCTAACCTCGCAAAAGAAAAAAAAACCATTGGTTACAAGTAGTTTTCTCACTCCAAGATTGTATGCCTTGCCAAAGGTTCATAAACAGGGGATTATTATAGATCCATAGTTTCAAATATGAGTTCATCCTCTTACAATGTTGCTAAATTTATAGAGCAAATGTTTTCTTTTCATAGTGAAGAAAAACATCTAATAATGATGATATGCTTGTGTATTTGGATATCGTATCATTATTTACTGAAGTATCAGTTGTTAAATATATTAATTGTTTTAAAGACACATTATAAATGAATAATGTCTCAGTCATTTAATCTGTAACAAAACTTATGTAGAAAATTCATTTTATGAATTTAATGATAATATGTATAAGCAGATTGCAAGCTCGTTTGTTTGTTTGTTTTGAATTTCGCGCAAAGCTACACGAGGGCCATCTGCGCTAGCCGTCCCTAATTTAACAACGTAAGACAAGAGTGAAGGCAGCTAGTCATCACCACCCACCGCCAACTATTATGATACTCTTTTACCAACGAATAGTGGATTGACCGTCACATTATAACGCCTCCACGGCTGAAATGGCGAGCATGTTTGATGTCACGGGGATTCGAACACGCGACCCGCAGATTGCGAGTCGAGCGCCCTAACCACTTGGCCATGCCGGGCTCAGATTGAAGGCCTAATTGGGGTGTGATGTCATGGTAAAGAAAATTTAATAGAATTTGCTAATTACTTGAATTATGTAAAAAAATATCACAAGAAATGTCAGATTTTTATTGTTATGTTTACAGGGCATTAAAGCTATGTTATTATCAAGTTAAAAAATTAATTGTTACTAGTAACATTAGGTAGGGGTTTTGCACCTAATACTGTTGATAGAGCCGTATGAAAACGTAATAAAATTACAAATGATGATCATAAAGCTAGCTAAAATCAATATTTCTAAGTAGATAAAATGAAGTGTTATTTTTACAAATGTCCCAGATATAAATGTCCCAGAAATTTATAAAATAAATATAAATATTATTACGATTTAATAAGCTTTTAAATAAACTTGGTCAAAATTAAATAAAACTAATGAAGTAATTAATGTGATGAAAAAAACTGGTTCAACCAAATGATATGGCGACTAGAAATATTAGAATACACTAAAATAATTATCATTTCTTCAATAAGGATGAAGGGTTGGCAAGTTAGAAAGTTAGATCAGATGGCGTGATCTAAATGTTCAGTATGTAAATTAACTAGTAATACTGGGTTACATGATTAATGGGATTGGTATTTATGGTTTGCACTGTTTTTGATTTGACATACTTTATACTTAATAACTTACTCATTCTTAACTAATATGTTTGTCAAACCACCTAAGACATTCACTGTACCCAAACTTCCCGTATAGACCTACTTACCGTATCTTGGAAGACAGAGTTCCCTCATAACGAAACAGTTGAAAAAATTATGTAACACTTACAATCTCTAAATTGATCTGAAAGTTGTTTTGAAACGCAATTTTAGACTAAAACATTTTTTTCCGCAACAAATATCATGTGCCGACTGCCCATTGTTCACTTATACACGTGCGGAGACTGTAAGGCTTCCTATATTGGTGAAACCAAACGTAACCGTACGAACACATGAGCAAAACTATAAAAATTGTAAGAAAGGTTACATATCCGCCTAACTCTATCATCACAATAAAGAAATAGAACATCTAATTTCTCTCTCCATCTTTAAAATTCGCTCAACAACCAAACATGGTACTGAACTTCTAATAAAAAAAAATTATACATAAAAAATCTTTTTTCCGTTTATAAATAATACACATTCTTCGCTTGATTTAAATGTATTTTAATTTAATGATTTCATTTTTGCTACATTTTTCATTTTCTTTTGTTATACCTTGCATTTGGTTTTGAAAATAGGAAAGCTCTAACAAAATGATAAATCACACCTAAGCGTTAAAGTTTAGAAATGACATATTTGATCTCAAATAATTCAAACTTGTAGTTTAAATATAAATTCTAATGTGAAAAATAATTCATGTAAAATAGGTTTGATTAGGTTTCTTTTGTTTAAGTTTGATTTAATGAGAATGAACGTCATTTTTTACCTTAAAACAAATAATAAAATAAATACCAGGTGAACGTTAGTAGAAAAACTAATTACCTCTAAGCTACAAATGGTCAAACCATTTTTAATATTGAAATTCATCTATTTAAAGTCCTGTTTAGAAGGAAGTTTTTAAGTTTTTAAATTCTTGATGAAATGTTTGAACAACACCGGCTTCAATATAAGCGGGGTACACCAAAACACTAACTACGTTTTTATTTTTTTCTGTTGCTTATACTTACCACTTTTGTCTTTCTTGCAATGCTTCGTTTAGGTTAGAAAATGTACCGTTGTATTTGCTTTTTTCTAATCTTATTTTAATGTCTTTATTTCTGGAGTTAAAGAGAAATTAATTAATTTGATGTCTTTCTCGATTTACTTAAAAAAACAAAAAAACATTAAAAACACACAAAATGTTTTTTTTTTCATTTTTTTACTATTTTATTGTAGAAGAGATTTTTGTTAGTGAATGTAAGAGTATATGAGGCAAGGTTAACATTCATGAGAACAATCTATAACAGTCATTCAGAGAAATAACATATTTTTATTGAATATATTAGCCAGTACAACTGGTATCATCGAGACAGACTCACTTAATAAAAATTCCTCATTAACCAAAACCAAAAGAAATAAATGGCTTGTCTCTCCAATAAGGAATAAAGACAACCTGAAAAGAAAACAAACAAGAAATATTATGAGTATAACGTTAATATACAGACAACTATTATAAATCACTGTTAATGTAAAAAAATAAGATGCATGTGGTCAGTTGTTCGGCCACATAATTCCTGTTCCCTTAAAAAAAAACTTTAACAAATGTACTTCAATTTTAATATTTAGTTATTAGCAAACTTAGATTAATAGCAAGTGATGCTTTAAATATTTTTAAAATTTCATGAATTTTTTAGGAGACATTTTTGAATGGATCTTTAAAGATCAAACTTATTTACTCAGCACAGAAACAGTTCAAAATTATTTCATCTTATCACACTACTTCCAGTTTATGCGGAAATACTGATTTTATTTCACTTCGTTTCCTATTATTGTCAACTTTTATAACTTTTACTCATTTAATCACGGAAGATAATTATGATTATGACCTAACTGAAAATATACCACCTTCTGTATATAGCCTTCTACTCATCCAGATCAAATTCATCCGGCTTTTCTCCCTTTGGGAACTTCACTTCTTCATCTATAGAATACACAATATTTCTACATGATTCTTTACGAAAGTTTTCTCGAATGTCTTTCATTGTCAAAAGGTAATCTGTAGTTGGTAAGTAATCAAGTTGTCGGTACAGAACTGGAATTTCGGAAAAAATTCTGATAAAGTAGTACAACACGGTCAATATATTTGGGGAACCAGTTAAATGACGAGATTATTTGAAAGACAAACTGATATTTAATATCAGTATTATAGTACTTAAACATGAAACTTTTAGCTACAATAAATCCTTAAATATGTTCCTTACATTCAACTTTCGACGCAAGATACTAGGATAAAATAGAATATTTTAATCTGCCTATTGTATCAGGTTGATAATACGACTGGAAATTCATAATATACAGCGTCAGTATAAAATGCAATGAAAAGCGATTTGTCATTGATTTCTTTTTTCTTTACATCCGAGGAATTAGAGAAGTACAAAAACACTTATTAAAGTAGAACCTGGTGATACTCAACTTTTCTACAAAATTTCACTAAAATCAAACAATGTCTTTTGAAATTATGTACATGATCAGAGTATAACATTGACCAAAAATTTACCTTCTCCAGAAGGTAAACAAATGTTCCTTGTAGATTTTCAATATTTCTCTAAATTGTATGAAACACAAACACAGGTGTGAAAGAAATACCCTCGCCACCAGTCGTGGGTAGATATGAAATAACATAATTTACATATTTCTTGTGACTAAGATGTCATCTAACAAAACTATTTGCCATAAGAACTGTTCATTAATTTGCATGTTTATAAACAGTAGATTTGCTTAAAAGCAACGTAATATCTTAATAAGAATTAATAAAAATTAGTTTTACATGTCCATATTTTCTTCTGTAAATAAGTTAAATAACATCTGTGTAACTTCAAGTTGTAGGCAAGTTCTTTTTTCATTGCTCTTAATGTCGTTGAAACTTTGACAATCTTCCTGTATTTTTAAATTGTGTTTTTATGTTGTAATATTAATATACTTTTGTATAACAAATTTACCGTCTTTCTTTCCTCCTTCATATCCACAAATACCACGACATAACCATCGACACCTGTAATAGCAATACCAGCGATCACACCTAATGAGACTGCAGCGCTTGTATGAACCTGCGTCGGCGTTCAGTGTTATTCCAAGTAGCACCAGGCATAAAAGAAAAATCACTGACTTGTTCATGATGATAACCTATAAAACCATACCATATTAGGTGTGGTCAGATTATACAAGTATATAGTTAAAACATTGTAAACTTCAAACTTAAAATGATTGAAATCTTATAGTTTAAATGAAACCTGTTGTCGCAAAAAGAAAACTACCCATAAGTGTTTCGAAAACAAAATTGGGTAAAAGATCAAAGAATAGATGAACGGCTTATGATTAAACATGTTTTTATGCGACATTTTGAAAACAACCTCATAGTTAATTCGTCATTAACTGTTTTGGAAGTCTTAATATTAATAATTTGACACACATAGAAATAAAAATTGGAACATGTACAATTGCTCTTTCCAGAGTTATGACTATCACATTATAACGCTAGAAATCTGGTTTCGATACCCGTGATGGGCAGAGCATAGATAGCCCATTGTGTAGCTTTGTGCTTATCTACAGACAATCAAACCAAGAAAGTTTAACTTGACATTCAGATAAATTCATATACATTTATTACAGCCAATGTACTTGATAGTTAGTTGAGAATATTGTGTTTAGATAATTGAATATTAGTTGAATTTTTCAATATGTATTTTTATAAAAACGAAATTAGAAACGTAAGATCCTGTATTCTCTCAACCAATACATTCTATGAGTTTCTGTATTTTGTTATATATATATATATATATATATATATATTTATTCATAAAGTAAAAACTAACACCCGGCAGAAACTTATACAAGATATAATAACAAAAGTTTAAACTATTT